TCCTGGCTGAGACAGGGCTGAGACTGGACACCTGAGCTGGAGCCAAGACAGAGGCAAGCCCAGGAATCCCCTACGGGAGGAGGAGCAGCTGGGCAGAGCCAATCTATCAAAGATGGGGAAAGTGAGGCCCAGAGAGAGGTAGCTACTCCCCCAAGTTGCACAGTGCATCAGGGCAGAGGAGGATGAGTTTGACCCAGGCTCAGTTCTTACCCGCACAAGCACAGCCCTCACCCTGTGGCCTGGTCACTCCTGGCCAAGCCCGACCCTCCACCTTGCAGGAGGCAGGAGCTCCCGATGTCGCACTGTGTGGCGGCAGTGGAGTCACTTCACTTCTCTGGTCAGTGGATGCTGGGGAGAAACGCTGTCTCCACCCTAGTCCTCAGAACTGAGGGCCTGGAGGGTCTTGGAAACGGCCAGGGGGAGAGGCTGCTGGTTGTGCCTTAGATGAGGATGCAGGCAGCTGATGCCTTTGCTGAGGTGGCGAAACCGGAACAGTGGAACAGGTCTCCAGGCCCTAGAGTGCAGCCCAGAGAAGGCAGGCAGGTGGCCTCAGGTCACACAGCAAAAGCTGCCCATTTGCTGCCTGTCCTGGCCCAGCTCCAGGCCAGTCCTCTCCTCCTGGATCTCTGCGCTCTTAGAAAAGTAAGGGGTGGCTGCAGAGTGCCATGGTGGACACCCCAGTCAGGGAGTAACGGCTACCCTGCTGCATGGGAGGGTGGGAGCTCTCTAGCCTGAAGGGGCAAGGCCCTGAAGCTTGCTATTAGGAGGCTCCTCTTCCTCCTCTCCATGCTGCCCTCCCATAGCTAGGCACATGGGCAAGGATCTGTAAACAGCACAGGCCCATGGTCCTGAAATCTACCCACTGCCATGCAGGGCAGAAGTGCTCCCACACATTCCCCCAGGACAGACCTGCTTCCCTCCTTCCACACCCCACGGGCGTTCCCTGGAGACGTATGGCCCACTGTTGCTCACTGACCAGGCACACCATCCTCTCCTTCAAAACATGTAGCCCAATGTGGTTACATACTAAGTGATGTCAACTCTGTGAGGGCAGGGCCCAGCTGCTTGGCCTCCGTAGCCCTGGCCCAGTGCCAGCCACATAAATGCTGACCACACACTGGGCACTGTGAGGAGGACTTCACGCTAATAACGTAGGGAAGCCCCTCAGTGCCCTGTGTGGAAGGTAGCATCTCATTTTAGAAATGGGAAAACTGAGGTGCTACAGGATTAGGTAATTTGCCCAAGGGGCCCCAGCCGGGAAAGTGGGGACAACAGGGACACTGAGGTGGTCTGGGCAGAGCATTTGTGTCCTCACATCCTTGCTACACCACCTCTGTCATCTTGAATCATGCCAGGGGCCACTTATAGACCCTCCTGCCATGCAGGGTTGTGAGCGTGGTGGGGCACTAGAAAGGCATGACTCTGGCCATCAGGTGGCCTGGACTCACTCTGACTCGCCCTGGTGGCCTGGATAACTCGGAGCAAGTCCTCACTTCTCACACCTTCTCCTGTTTCCTCATCTGCTAAATGGGATCATAACGTCTACTTCCCAGGGTTGTTGTGAAGCATCTACCATATAACATAGATGGGAGGGTCCCACAGGGTGCACGGGACATGAGTCAATCAATACACAACTTCCCTCCCCCATGTGCCTGATTCTAAGCACAGCAGCCCAAATCTGCAATGACAAGGGTGGCAGAGAGGCAGTTTTGGTGGCTTGAACTGGAGCAGCCCTGTGTGGATAACATGTTGTTTAGGGCCTCTTCTAACCTTTTGGGGTGAAAGTGGAAATGTCCCCTGGGGTGACCCCCTCCCTCCTGGGTCCCAGGACACCTGCCAGTCAGGGCAGAGACTCCTGTGCGCCAGGGACCCTGCCCTGATGTCATGCAGTTCATCAAGAACAGTTGCTGCAGGCGCATCAGCCAGCATTTACTCCCCAACACTCAACTCTCCACCCTCCCCTTCCTCCCATCTCTGCCTTGTCCCTGGCCTCAGCTCTATGGCCTCATCACAGTCACCCTGGGCAGGAAGAGCTGGGCAATGTGAGTGACAGCAGAATCACCACCAAGGCACTGGCTTACATCCAGGCGCCACGCTGACCTGCTGAATGACCTTGAGCTCAGCCCCACCCGTCTCTGGCCTTGAGTCTCCAGCTGGGCTGGATAATCCCTAGGGTCAGCCGAGTGGCTGGACGACTCACGTGCCCTTTCACAGTGGCCTTCATGAGTCAACAGCCCAGGAAGTGATGTCAGGTTAGGGAGGTGTAGAGGGGGCAGGGAGGCCTGGAGGGTAAGAGAAGATATTTTGAGGGCAGGCAGGTTCCCCCAACGTCACTGCTGGACAATGGTCTGGGGCCAGGAATGGAAAATGCTAGTCTTACTTGGGCTGAAAATAGCATGAGGCATCAGGGCAGGAACCTCACCCCCAAGGTGAGTGGCCTGGGCACTGAGCAGTAAGGCTGGCCGTGCATACCAAGGGGCCAGGCAGTCCAATGGGGTTCCAGAGGTGGGGCCTTGTGCCTGTCCCTGGTTTGCCCAGGGTCTCCAGTATTCACCCCGACCTGCGCCTGCCACAGGATTAGATGGCAAATAAGCCTCTCCTGTGTCCTTATGGTCCTATGTCCCAGGTCCTATGTCCTTAGAAATCTGCAGGCAGTGGTTAAAGGAGAGCTTCCTGGCTCTAGGCAATGGTGCTGTCTCCATCCACCATGGGGTCTGGTTTGGGCAGATGCAGGAGGGTAGGTGGGCAGGACATGAGAAGAATGGGGACCAGGGAACTTGGGCTTGGGGAAGTCCTAGCCTACCCCAACCACAGATGCACACTCAAGGGTCCTCAAAATCATGAGATACAATCCTGCCTCCAGATCTAAGCAGGCCTGAGAGGGTCAGAGCTCAGCATTCACACTCTCAGCCAGCAAAGCATCTCACCTGGGGAGGGGATCCCTATAAACTGGGATGGGGTTCAGCTTGAACAGCAGTTGGTAGAAAAGGGAGTGGCTTGGGCCTGCAGGAAAGGTTCAAGGATGGTTTGTAAGAGGCAGTCACTAAGAAAGCTCAGAAGGGCTGGGTGCGGCAGCTCACACCTGTAATCCCAGTACTTTGGGAGGCTGAGGCAGGTGGATCACTTGAGGTCAGTGGTTTGAGACCATCTTGGCCAACATGGTGAAAACCCATCTATATTACAAATACAAAAATTAGCTGGGCATGGTGGCACATGCCTGTAATCCCAGCTACTTGGGAGGCTGAGCCAGCGCTAGGAGAATCGCTTGAACCTGGGAGGCAGAGGGTTGCAGTGAGCCAAGATGGTGCCACTGCACTTCCAATCTGGAGCCTGAACAACAGAACAAGACTTCGTTTCAAAAAAAAAAAAAAAAAAAAACCGCTCAGAAGGATATCGGTTACATTAACAGAAGTATAGAACCTAGAATGTGAGAGGTGACTATCTCACACTATTCTGTGTAGGTCACCCACATGGCACAGTACAGAGTAATCATTTGGGTCATGGTCTGTGATGGGTCTCTGTCACATGAGGGCACTGTGGAGTCAGGCTCCAAACACAGCAACGTCTGGGGATGCCTGCCTTTCACAAAGGGGAGTGGAAAGGATGGAAAGGTCAGAGGCAGGCAGAGTGGGCCCACAGGGCGAGGGCTCTCCCAGAGGGAAAGGAGTGGGTCCCTGTCCTTGAGATCAAGAGTGAGGCCTGTCAGCTTTGCCCTATCCCTGTTCAAAGGTTAGGGCTGGGCCCTGTCCAGGCGAGCTTCACACATCAGCCCAGAGCGGTCCTGGCTAGACCCAGAACCTATCATAGATGAGACCCGTCTCCCCAACGCTAAGTCCTGATACAGCCTGAGCACCATCCTGCCATGTATGTGGGATTTTCCCAGAAGGCAGAGGATGGACCAGAGGTGAACTGAGTCTCTTTCATACTTACTCCCAATGCAAAGGAAGCCTTAGGGTCAGGGCAAGGAGGGAGCCCTGACTTGGCCTCCTTGTGACCTAGCTCCAACCGTACCTTCAGCCTGGAGCCAGCTGTCCAGACTGCTTATGGCTCCTGCACACCCTGCCCTCTTGCCCCATGTCTTGCCTGGGATGCATCCTGTATGTGGGTGTTCTGGTGAGCTGCTTTTCTCAGAAGCTACAACTCAGGAGTCTCCCCACTCCAGGAACCCTTCCCTGATCCCCGGCTCACAGCCCCAGCCACTCAGCATTATCCAATGATGTGCTAGAGTGACTTGTACCTGCTTGCAAGAACCAATTGTTAAATTATCAGAAATTTTACAAGGAAGTTGATATCATGTTTACAGTTTGAATTTGGCCATGATAAGAGTTTTCACACCATGGAAATGGACAGTTCTACAAAGAAGGGGTTCCCAGTTAAATCGGAGCTACAGTTAAATGATTTCACATTTATCAGCACATGACTGGCCATCACCTAAACTGGGAGATCTCAAGGTCTCGGACTGCACCTGACTCTTCTCTGCACTTGGCACAGAGTCAGACACAGAAGTCAACTGGCTTTAAAGTGGGGGATGACTGGGGCTGGGCACGGTGGCTCACGCCTGTAATCCCAGTACTTTGGGAGGCCAAGGCACGTGGATCACGAGGTCAGGAGATTGAGACCAACCTGGCTAACATGGTGAAACCCCATTTCTACTAAAAATACAAAAAATTTAGCCAGGCATGGTGGCACACACCTGTAGTCCCAGCTACTTGGGAGGCTAAGGCAGGAGAATCGCTTGAACTGGGGAGGTGGAGGTTGCAGTGAGCTGAGATAGCACCACTGCACTACAGCCTGGGCAACAGAGCGGGACTCCACCTCAAAAAAAAATGTGGGGGATGACCTGGGGTCTGGAGAGAGGATCCCTGATAAGAGACTACTCCTGAGACAGCTAGTGAGAAAGCAGGTGGCAGGAGGGATTGGGTTGGAGAAAGGACCCTTTTGTGGCTGGTGAAAGCTTCTCCACCATATCCTCATCCCCCAACCACACAATAGGGCACAGCTCAGCAGGCAACACAACCTTTAGTATAAGTTACAGCCTCACACTGGCTCCCAGCCCATGGGAGCCTCCAGATGGGTCTATGACATTAGTCCCCAGATGTTCATCTCTTGGGCTGGGGGTACTCCTCAGAGCTGAGTCCACCGTGACACCCAGTTCATTCCAGACCACTGTGCGAACTCAGCCCTCACTATTTACCAGGGCTTTCTGGCCAACCTGTGACTTGGCCCCCACCCCAGGTAGCTCAGCTCCAGACTGGTATGTGACCTTGGTAAGCCACCTTCCTCTCGGGGCCTGTTTCTCCATTGGACTTAATTAGGCTGAACTCCTACCTAGGTACCTTGGCAGTACAGCCAGGTATTTGTGTGGGAGTCAGGCCAGGAGTGTCACTGACTTTCAACTCTCACCTTTCTTGAAACTTAATTACCCCAACTCATACACACAAATAATGACTAGGGCTTATGGGAACAGCTGACTCTGGAGAATATCCTGATCCCCTGCCAAATGACAGCGCATGGGGTCATGGCTTCCTTGGTCATCCAGCATGAGTCACTGATGGTCCATATCTGGGGAGACCGTGCCCTCTGCACAATTCCTGGTCCCTTACATCTTCTCAATATAAACCTGCGCAGGCCGGAAGTGTTCCGCTCCTACAGCCGAATGTCCTTAGTGTTCTCGCTACCAGCCGGCGTGGACTCTGTCCGCCTTGAGTCCTCACTGCTGCCCAACGCATCTTCTATCCTCTGCATGTCAGTTCTGTCGGATCTGCGCAGACCCAGCCTGCGGCGAGCCGGGGTGGCGGGGCTGGGGCCAGTGGGTGGTTTGGTATCTCGGGCAAAACGGACGAGCCTCTGCCCAGCCAGGAAGTAGAGCACGGGGTCAAGGCAACTGTTGGCACTGGCTAGTGGCCGGGTGACCTTGTAGGCCATGTTGATGGCGTTGAGTGCGTGGCAGCTGAGGTCCAGCGAGCGGAAGGAGTAGTAGAGGGTGCGGGTGACGTGGAAGGGCAGGAAGCAGAGGGCGAAGACAGCCAGCACCACGGCGATGGTGCGCACGGACTTGCGCTTGGCCCGAGGCAGGCCGCCCGTGGTCCCGTAGGCTGGCTTTAGCAGCCGCCGAGCCATGAGCACATAACAGACGAGGATGACGGCAAAGGGCACCGCGAAGAGCAGGCCCAGCATGACTGAGCTGTAGGCCACGAAGCGGCTGAAGAGCTCGGGCGCCGAGGTGTCGTGGCAGGTCACACGGCCTCCGCGAGCGCTGGTGGTGACAAAGTAGAGCACGGGGGCCTGGCAAGCCAGCACCAACACCCACACACCCGCAGCCACCCGGCGAGCATAGTGGGCCCGGCCCCAGCGAAGGGAGCGCAGAGGGCGTAAGACTCCCAGGCACCGGTGCACGCTGATGCAGGTGAGGAAGAGGATGCTGCAGTAAAGGTTGGTGTAGAAGAGGAAGCGCACCAGCTTGCAGAGCACCGTGCTGAAGGGCCAGTGGTCGCCGCGGGCGTAGTAATAGACCAGCAGCGGCAGGGAGGCCGCATACAGTGCATCAGACACAGCCAGGTGGAACATATAGGTAGTGGAGGCATTCCAGGTCTTGAGGCGGCACAAGAAGATGTAGAGTGCCACGGCGTTCAGACACAGCCCAAGCACGCACACCACGCCGTAGGACACAGGCAGCAGCACGTACTTGAAGTCCTCGTTGAAGCGGCACCGGTAGCCCAGCTCATCCCCATCCCAGGTGCCATTGATGGTGCCATTCCAGGGGTCCAGGTCTGCTGCCATCACCCTGAGGGGAAGGGAGGAGTGGGGACATCAGGGTTCTGGCCGGAGCGCCCCTAGGGGACCCAAGGCAGCCATCTGTCCAGGACTTTTGTTGCCATTTGACTTGGATCTGGGCCCAGAACCTCCAAGCTCTGAAACTTCGAGAATGCATGAGATCCATGAATATTAGGATCACACAATTGTCAAACTTGAGAACAGAGGCAGACAAACTATAGTCCAAAGGCCAGTTCCAGTCTGCTTTTGTAAATTCAGCTTTGTTGGAACACAAGCATACCCATCTGTTTATAAAGAGTTGAGTAGTTGTGATAAAGACCATATGGCATGTGAAGTCTAAAATACTCACTATCTGACCTTCAAAAAAAGTTAGCTCAACCTGTGTGGTGGTTCATGCCTATAATCCCAGCTACTCGAGAGGCCAAGGCAGGAGCCAGGTGTTCAAGCTCAGTTCAGGCAACAACGTGAGACCCCATCTCTACAGATTTTTTCAAAAAAATTAGCCAGGCATGCTGGCATGCACCGGTAGTCCCAGCTACCTGCAGGCTAAGGCAGGAGGATCATTTGAGCCCAGGAGGTTGAGGTGAGCACAGTGAGCTGTGATCACACCACTGCACTCCAGCCTGGGTGATATAGCAAGACCCCATTTCTGGGGGAAAAAAAAGTTTTCTTACCCCTCTCTAGAACCTCAGGATCAGAGTTCTAGATCTAGGATTCTGAGCTCTAGAATCTGAGGATCTGAGAGTGCCAGAGCATGTAATTTTGAGTTCATGGAAAGAGGCCTTTGAGGCTGGCTGGCCCTGCATCACACCAAATGCCCACTTGCCCGCAGGGACATTCCTGGCCAGTAGGCATCGCACAGCCTCCTGTGGGGCATTACAAAGTTCTATCCAGCTCATCTTCCTACTCTTGGGAGGCTCTGGGCCCACGCTTAGGGTTCCGGTATTGGAGGAAGTATTTCCAAGGGTCTCCCTCTTCAGTTATCCATTCACTTTTTACAGCTTCCTCTATTCTGGCACTTTTTATATCTATCAACAGCAGTCCTCCCCCGAGCCTGTGAGGCCACCAGGGAATGCCCCTGAAGTAACCCCCCTGAAGAATACAGGGAAATCTGGGGTGGAGATGGGGATAGGGGACCAAGGGATCTTTTGTGTGGCAAATGCAGCTTCTTCCATGCCCACCCGGTTTCTCTCTGCACATTACTATTGTGATGTCCCCTGCACCTTGTCTCCACTGAGCCTATAACACACCCATGGGGACTGACTGTCCAACAGACAGCTTGTTCCCCTCCCTCTCCTCCTCACACCTACCCAGGTGACCAGTTAAGAGCTCTCTCACAGCTGGGAGGCAAGGGAAAGACAGCCCAGCCTGCAAGGCAAAACGTCCCAAGGGGCAGGCTAGAAATCATAGCAGGAGTCCTGGATGGGCAAGTTTCAGAAAAACCCAAAGAAGCACTTTCTAGCAGTGTGAAGAGGCAGGGGGAGCTAACGTTTTTCCAACCCTACTACTATGTGTGCTTTCTAAAAGTTATTCACTTAGGCCAGCCGCGGTGGCTTACACCTGTAATCCCAGCACTTTGGGAGGCCGAGGTGGGTGGATCACTTGAGGCCAGGAGTTCAAGACCAGCCTGGCCAACATGGAGAAACCTCATCTCTACTAAAAATACACACACACAAATTAGCCGGGTGTGGTGGCAGGTGCCTGTAGTCCCAGGTACTAGGGAGATTGAGGTGGGAGGATCACCTTGGGCCCAGGAGGTAGAGGTTGAAGTGAGCCAAAATTGCACCACTGTACTCCAGCCTGAGCAACACAGCAAGACTCTGTCTCAGGAAAAAAAAGAAAGTTACTTTACTTTATCCTTACAATGTGTTCTATGAGCCAGGTCACCATCCCCAGCTCTCCAATCAAGAGGCTAAGACACAGGTCACGTAAATTATTTGGTCAAGTTCATGCCACTGCGGATGGGCTGCAATTCCTGTCCAGGTCCAGCCCCTGGAAGTGGCTCTAGGAGGGAGGTAGTGAACTCGCTGTTTGTGGGATTATGCAAGTGGCTCTCTAGCAGAGGCTGCAGAAGGGCTTTTGCCTGTGTGGAGGTGTGTCTGGGAGGATGGAAAGGGCAAATGAAGTGTGAGTCCTCCTCATCCTGAGAATCTGGGGCCATATAATTCCCTTCATTTTATTTATTTATTTTTAGACAGAGTCACTCTGTCACCGAGGCTGGAGTGCAGTGGTGTGATCTCAGCTTGCCGCAACCTCCACCTCCCAGGTTCAAGTGATTCCAGGCACATGCTACCATGCCCAGCTAATTTTTGTATTTTTAGTAGAGATGGGATTTCACCATATTGGCCAGGTTGATCTTGAACTTCTGACCTCAAGTGATCTGCCCACCTCGTTCTCCCAAAGTAGCGGGATTACAGGATTATGGCCTAATTCCCCTAATTTTAGATCCTGGAGTCCTGAGGGACTCGGGGACTCTGCAGGGCCCGTGACATCCACTCTCGTAGACCCAGCCTTCCCTTCCAGGCTTGGCTTCCCAGCGGCAGTTCAAAGCCCATGAGGTTGAGATTAGGGGTGCTAGGGGGCAAGTGTAGAGGTCCTTTGATTTCCTTCCTTATTTTTTTCTTTTTGAGGCAGATTCTCACTCCATCGCCCAGGTTGGAGTGCAGTGGCGTGATCTCAGGCACTGCAACCTCTGTCTCCTGAGTTCAAGCAATTCTCGAGTCTCAGCCTCCCAAGTAGCTGGGATTATAGGTGTGTGCCACCACACCTAGCTAATTTTTTTGTATTTTATAGTAAAGATGGGGTTTTGCCATGTTGCCCAGGCTGGTCTTGAACTCCTGGACTCAAGTGATCTGACCACTTCAGCCTCCCAAAGTGTTGGGATTATAGGCGTGAGCCACGGTGCCCCGCCAGTTTCCCTTCTTTCACCAAGACTCCCAGATCTTCTCTGTCTCCTATTGTCAGCAAATGTGCACTCACAAGGAAGGGGGCCTGCACCCTTGTTCCCCCTGCCATGGAAACGGATGGCTCCCCAGGGGGAGGAGGCCGGGAGAAGCTTATGTGTTGCCAAGTTAAGAAGGGACAGGTGGAGCTGGGGCTCTAGCAGGGTCAAGTAGCTGAGACTCGTCTTACCCAGAGTCAGGGCAGTTCCTGCTGCCAGCCTAGTGCCAGGCTCTACCTCTTGTTGCTGGAACCACTGCATTGGCCTCCCTCCTCCAGCCCCAGCCCCACCCACCCACCAAAATCCAGAGTGGCCTTTGTCAAAGAAAGTATTCTCCTACTTGGAACCCTCCTGGGGCTCCTGCCGTCTCTCAGGAGAAAGCCTAGCACTCAAGTCTGGTACCTGAGGTTTTCATAACTGAGCCTCTGCCAACCTCACCCGCCAACCCCTGTGACCTGCAGTTTCCTGAATGTGCCCAACGCTCTTCCCTCCCAGCCCTAGTTCCCGCTGCTCCTTCTACCTGGAGTTCATTCATGGCCCTCATCTCCACCTGTTGGACTCATGGCTCTTTATCCTTCAGTGCAGAGAACTCAGTGACTAAGAACCTAAGCACTGGAGCCAGACTGCCTCTGTTTCCTCAGCTGTAAAATGGGACAATTACTAGAATCTCCACTATAGGACTGCTGTGAGGGTCCAGTGTTCTGTGTAAAATATCTGGAGTAGAGGCTGCACACAGTAGGCACATGGTGGTGGTATAAGTGCCAAGGTTCAGCTAGCAGTGGCCTTTTTCAGAAACCTTAGGCCACAGTGGAGGTGGGACTGGAGGTCCCGACTGGGGGCTGTGGAGGTGAGTGTGGTGGGCCAGGGGAGTGACACCGAGACTGAAGCTGGGGCAGGCCCCGGACCCTGTGAGAGAAGAGGCCTCGGAGATGTCTGGGAGGCAGGCTCTGGAGGCTATTCCAGAGTGGTGGGAGAGGAGGAATTTGGTGTCAGTCATGGCAAGTGTGAGGATGGGCACAGGCTGGGTCCATCAGGTCCGGAGCTTTGGAAGGGCAGATGAGAGTCGCTTGCTCACAGAAGCTGCAGGAGTAGCGAGGAGAGGCCCCCGTGTGAGACTGAGGAGCTATGGAGGGACCACATTCCCTCCTGGGACAGAGTCCCTGCCTGGGGATCAGTAAGCTGAGGTTTGAGTCTAGCTTGGCCACAAAACACCGGGTGACGTCAGGCATTTCCTTCCCTCAGAAGTCTCAGACCCTAATCAAATCCTCCAGCCTTGAGAACTGCAGCCCCTAAATGTCCCCGGGAGCTTTTCTACCCCTCTTGGACAGGGAGGGGCCTTCCTCCATAATTAAGACACAAACGCCCAGTCTCCCCTCCACACCATTGCTCTGCGGCTGCCCCAGTGCTGAGGCCTGACTTCCCTCCATAGTCACCATCTCATCACCCCGCATGAAGAGTTTCCTGCTAATCCCTAACGGTGGAATCTCTGACACTGAGAAGAGGGGTGGAGACTTCCCTGTCTCCCTTGAACTGAGGGAGCTGCCCCTTCCACCTGTTTTAAGACATCCTGGCCCCCACCCTCCCAGGCCAGCTGGGGACTCCATCACCATGGCCCCAGGCCAGACTCACCCGGCCAGCCCTCTTGCTCTGCAGGCTGGCTCACCAACCTATGAGTACATCTTTCCTAGCCCCAGCCCCTGCCTTAGAGGGACAGCCAAGTCCCCAGCCCTCTCCCTTAAGTCTCCCCTCTGCTTTTCCTTACCCTGATGCCCCTGGGTCTAGAGACGGCTCCACCTGACTGTCCAATGCTCACCAACCCCTCTGCGTCCCAGTGGCTGGTCCTGTCCCAAGGACCTCCTAGTCCGGAGGGGAGACCAGAGCCTTGTAAGGGCCCTTCCAGGCGCCTCTGCCTGTGTTCATGCTGTTCTTTCTCACTGGAAAGCCTTCCCAGGACCCACCCACACTGCACTCCAGCATCCCAAAGGATCTTCTCATCTCTGAAGCTCTCTCTCCATCATCTCTGGGAACGTTTCTTGTTCCGGTTGGTAATTTGTCCTTCCATCCTCTATCCCAACACATTTCAGGTGCTCCTTGAGGGCTGGGTCCATCTGATGCTTTTCTCTGTCCCTATCATCCAGCAGGAGGCCCGACCACAGGAGGTATTACAGGAATGAGAGAATGAATGGATGAATGAATGAATGAAGCAAGCACAAGAGGCTATGGGGACCCAGAGGAGGAGCACACAGACACAAGCCCTTCCGCAGCCTCTGCACACTCCTGTAAACAGGGACTTCACTACCTCCCTCCTGCAGCCCCTTCCACTGTGGGATAGACCTGAATGGGAATTGCAGCCCATCACCACTGGTATAACCTTGACCAAATTACTTGCTCCTCTGAGGGCCTCTCAAGAACAAGAATGCTTAAAGATTTCTTAGCTGCTGACCCTGCGTATCCAGGGGACAACCCAGCCCCTCTAGAGGTCCTGGCCCACCTGGGACCTGCTTATGTCCCTGCTTATGTCTCCTTCAACTGCCACAGGAGCCCAGGAGACTCTGCCCTTCCCTGGACAGGTCAGGGAAGTGCCAGTGGGAGGGGATTGGACATGCATATTCTGGAGATAGGTCGGCTGTCTGAGGCCTGCCACAGGTTTCTACCTACCTCGGGACCTGGGTCAGTCTGATCAGGATTCTCCACCCACCTTGCTTTATAGGGGCCAGACTTGGGCTGAGCAGCTTTCACACAGCATCTTCATCCCCCACCCCACTCGTTGGTAGATACTCCCATAAAGGTTAAGCTATTTGTTCAAGATCACGCTGCCAGGCATTGGAAAAATTAGGCTTGACACCCAGGGCTGTCTGGCTTCAAAGCCTAAATTTATCATAGCCTGGGATGAGGGAGCAGGGCATGGCACCTGCCTTCGGATCCCTTGATCTAAGCCAGTTCCGGGCAGACATAGGCACAACGGCACACGCACCTGCCCTCACCTCCCAGCCGGGGCACCCACCCACACACATCCGTACCTGACCAGCCCTTGCTCTCCAGGTCAGGATGCTCAGCGCCTGCTCGGATTCCTCACTCATGAATGCACACGCCTGGACCGGGCTGCAGGGAACTCTGCAGGAAACAGGAAAAACAGGTCCCCAGGCCTGGGGCCACGCCCAGCCTCCAACATTTTTCTGGGCAGGCCGTGCTGCTGCCCCAAGAGGCTCCTGCAGACACAGGGAGGTGGAGAAAGCTCAGGCTCAGGGTCATGGAAACCCAGCCAGGACAATCCCCCATAGGGCTGCCTCCTCTGTGGTAACTTTGACCAGAAGGAGGCAGAGAGGTGGCCTGGTGTTTGTCCTGGTCTGAGTGCCTTCTCAGCTCAAACACCCAAACCCCAGCTCATGTGTTCCAGGGATTGGTTATTCACAGCCTCCTTCCCTGGGCTCCCCTTTCACAGAGGGGTGGTCCTGCCTGGGGGAAGGTCTCCCCAGTGTCCTGCACAGCTGAGCCAAGCCTCCAAGCCTCCAGGGTCTCTTTCCGAGGTCCTGGTTCTGTGCTTTGGCCCCAAAGCAGGAAAAGTCAATACCCTCTTTGTCCAGTGTGCATTCTAGTGTATTTCTGCCAACACACTTTTGCTCAAGCAAGGTCTCTAGAGACCCCCTGCTCCCCATTCCTACCTCTAAGCGTTCCTCCATAGGTGTTATAAACACACATATGCCACACCTGATCACACACTGGCACAGACACACCAAGATATGCAGAGGCATGCAGAGTCGCACTCAGGTATACGTGCAGTGGACACACCCGGATGTACACATGCGCGCGCGCGCACACACACACACACACACACACACACAGACGCAGTCTAGACCATCAGGGCCTGAAACAGCATTCGGAAATCTCCTGTGCCAAATCCTGTTTCATAGAGGAGGAAACTGAGGCGCAAGCCTCACAGTAAGTCAGGGACAGAGCCAAGTCTAGAGCCCAGCCCTCCCAAATTCTGGCCCTGGTTTTTGTCTCACCTGGGAGCCCCTGCGCACACCAAGCACAGGGTTTCAAGGAGGGGACAGTTGCCTGGTGGAGGTGACCCTCTGTGTGGGCAGGTCCCACCATCCGCCAGCACCTCAGAATCTCACAGGAGAAATAGAACATAACCCTCCTGAGCTTTTCTTTTTGCATCTTCGTTTTCCTAGGATGGAGGAGTGGGCCTGTGACAGCTAAGGCCAGGTCCCCAAGGATGGGGGGATGTGGAAGAGGAGATGGGGGCGCTGCAGGAATAGCTTGGGGACAGGCCATGGGAAATGCCTCTGGACCACTGCTTCCTGAGTGCACCTTGCCCGGTGATCTCAGACTGGCATGGCTGGTGGGCTGGTAGCTCCCCACTGATCTACTCTAGAGGCTGTGACAAGGTGAGGGGGCGTCAACCTTTTCACCCGCTAGGCCCAGGTGTACTCCCTGTCTCCTCCTCCTTAGAAAATGCCTTGACTCAATAGGCTGAAGTGGAGAATATCACTTTCTCCAAGTGGTACTCATTTCTGAGAAGGGCCTGCACCATCTTTCCAGATTTCAAACCTCTGATACAGCCTGGACAACATCCCCACCCCACTGGAAGCCCACCACTCACCAAGTCCTATCAGTTCAACCAGTGAAGTTCCTTGGACATGCACCACATGGTCCCTGCGCTGCAGCCTGAGGCCTGTGCTCCCACAGCCCACAGCACCAGCCTCCTCACTGTCCTCCGAGCCTCCACCCCTGCCAGGTCTGTTCAGCTTTCACACTGCAGTCATGTGGTTTCCTAAAAGACAAATCCGACCATATTTTGTTGAGTCACGTCCCTGGCTCCCTAGTGCCCTCAGGCGAATATCCCGGCTCCTCAGCCTGGCACTCAGGCCCTGGCTGATCTGGTACCTGCCACCCCTCCAGAAAACCCATCCTCTTTGCCTCTGCCCTCATCTTTCTGTCTCAGGCACAACAAAAGCAGTCCCGTGGTCCTATGGTCACTCAGGGATGGCCTACCTGATCATCTAACACCTATATCACCATAAGAGTTTCATGCTGTCCCTGTGCCAAGTTCTGTGTTAGGTGGTTTCATATACCTCTTTTCATTGAATCCCGAGAGACTCAGAGAGGCTAAATAACCTCTCCCAGGTCACAAAGCTAGCAAACGGCATAGAAGCTCTGGACTGTCTGGCTGTGCTCCTGACCACTACCTCCCACCCTGCAAGGCCCAGGCCCTCTCCCCAGGCAGCTCCCCAACCATCCCTTTTTGGACCCACAGCTCTGCCTATCTGCTCAGTTTTCTGCCATAGGAGTGCCCGATTGGCAGGGCCCAGGATTTATTCTTCCCAGTACTTAGTGTGAGGAGGTCATGGTGGCTATTGTACCCATCTCACAGGTAGAAAAACTAAAGCCAGAAAGGGGTAGCTCAAGGTCTTACCCAAGGTCACCAGTGAGTCAAGGGCAAAGCCAAGCCTAGCATGCTTTGGACCTCAGGACCTCTAGCCCCCGACCTGGCTCTGTCCCTACTCCAATCTGGGTCTTCTCTCTATGGTTCTAGGCTAGTGTGGCCCAAATCAGGAGGAGGAGCTGGGCAGCTCCCAGGCCGCTGCGGAATTTCCAGGGCAGTTGGACAACATTCCAGCTCCTCCAGTTGAGTGGCTCTGGAATGTGCCTCTCTGCCTGGTGGCAGACCCCATCTAGCCTGGTAGGGGAGAATGTCCTGTCACCACTGTGTGGAGACCCCTGCTGCCTGTCTCTGCCGGAGATGGGGTGCTGTGAGGGGAAACAGAGGACCTGGTCCCAGAAATACATCGAGGGGGCAAGACAGGGCACTAGGCAGGTGGGAAATCCCAGTTCTGCTCTTCCCAGTGGTAAGACCTGGACAAATCTCTTAACTCCAAAACCCAGATCTCAATTTGCTCTCGATAACAGGACAGTACCTGCCTCAGAGGGTTGTTGAGCTAGTAAGATGATTTAGACTCATTTTATGAAATAGTAAGAGAGAATATTTCAGCAGGTAAAGAAGGTAGGGAGGGTGGGGGTATCTCAGGAAGACATGAAAGGCAGGAGGCCTCACAGGAATTACGGGCAGGGGCTACAGGAAGGCCACAACCAGAATAGTCACAGATCAGGTTTCCCACACTGAAGGGGGAAGCCAGACCAGGGATTCCCCAGCAGAAGCCAGATACCTACCACACTCTCACTCGCTCACCCTTCACAAAGGTTGTCACATCTATGCCCATAGTTGAGCAGGGCACCTGGGGACTATGAGGTGGGTTAGATCTCAAAGTCAGGGGAGGCACACTTGGAAACAGGCAGGTAACACAGGTGATCAGGCCTGGAGGAAGCCAAGGAGGCGCCTCACAAGAATGGAGGGGTGATGAGGGAAGGCTTCCTGGAGGAGAGAGCACCTGACCTGCATTTGGGAAGATGAGTAGGACTCAGGTGATGGAGAGGGAGGAGGAGCAGAATGAGGATGAACAAGACAGGACATGACACGTGTGAGGAACTGCTCCTCACCCTGGTGGCTTGAGGGGAGTGAAGAGGGCAAGGCTGGAGTGCACAGGCTGAGGAGCTTAGAAGTCACCCCCGACTCCTCCCAAATGTCCTTCAAGGGCCCAAGGCCAGCAGGCCCCCTGCCTGGCCTGCCATGCTTCCGCACTGGGAGCACTGGGGAGTGGAAATGGCTGATGGGTAACCTCAGATGCTATCAGCTGGTGCCTTTGTGGTGTGAGGCTTTCTCTTCATGAGGCCCTTGGGCTCTGTACCCCCTCCCAGGTGCTCTCTCCCTCTTGGGGACCCCCCAAGATCCTGGCTGTGGATGCCACTCACCAAGGCTGAGCTCAGAGCAGCATCTGAGTAGGTGAGTCTCAGATCAGCCAGGCTTACAGATCAGAAAGATCTGAAGAGGAAGGGCCTTACTCAAGGTCTGGTGTTCTAATTACTATCAGTGTGGGTTTGACAACCTCACCCCCAACCCAGAGCAGAACCCCAAACCACCCATCTCACCTACAACCAAGCACAGCCCAGAACAGGGCTACAGAGCCATGCTACTAAATTAAGCAGGCTTACCACAGTGTCCTGGACCACCACCCCAACCTGTCACAGCCAAATGCCTCCAGATTCAAGAGGCAAGAACCCTGGGTTCAGGCTCTAACTTGGAACCACCCATGCTGTGCAGTCTTGGTGAAGTCAGCCCCCCTCTTGGAGCCTCAGTTTCTTCACTGCTCAGATGGGGAGAATCGCTGCTGCACAGGACAGCTCATGGGGAATCAGACAAGGGGGCAGGTGGGTGCACCATGGCACTAATAAATCATAAACTGTCCTGAGGTGGAGGCTGCATCTGCCTGTCACAACAGGAAGGAAGACACTGAAATTCAGGAGCCCACAACACTGCTCGCCAAGGAGGCCCTCCTAGGTGTCCCCAGCAGAGGGACAGAGGTCATGGTCAGACCAGTCAGGCAAGGTCCCTGGGAGGGAGCTATAATGAGATTTGAGGAGGAGCAGGAAGGGTCCAGCTTGGGAGGAAAGAAGGTGGATGGAGAACCCAAGATGGAAAGGGGGATGAAAGCATTGATCAGGAACCGCGCAAGTCGGTGACTCTGAGATGGCCTCACTCCAGGTGCCTCCAGGATTCTGAGTTCACTGATTCTCACAGTCTAATTCTGAGGGGCTCTGGCTCCGCGTGTGAAGGCTCAGTGTTTCTTCAATTCTATCACTCGTTGCTCCTGATAACCTTTGGTTTTGAGATTCTAAGAGCCACAAGAGTAATGCAATCTTAAATCACATTCCCAGCAACCACAAAGTCCCAGCAAACACTTGCCAGTGCTCTGGTGCACCCAGCCACACCCGGCCTCACATCACACTCTGCTGGGCCCTTGAGGAGTACCCAGTCTGATTGGGGAAAGAGATATAAACAGGGACCAAATCCACTTGGGTGAATAAACCACAACCAAGGCAAGCCCAGGGGCCATGGAGCGAACAGCAACTCCTACCTGGCCTGGGGAGGTGGTCAGGGAGTGCTTCTGCAGAGGAGGGGTCATAAGAGCTGGAACCTGATAGATAATTAGGAGTTTGTTAGATAGACAAAGAGGGAGGCAGGCTGTGAAGGCAGAAGAGGCATGAGCAAAGACTTGGTGGATGAAAGTGTGACCTGCTGGGAAAAGGCCAGCAGGTCTTCCGTGGTTGCTGTGGAGGGTGAGGTGGCATGGAGTGTGGCGGGGGGAATGAAGAATTCACATGAAAAGGCTCAAATGCCAGGCCAAAGAGCTTGGCCTCTATTCTGAGGACAATGAGGAGCCATGGAAGGCTTAAGAGGGGAAGGATGTGGTCAGAGTTGACCTTTACAAAGATGGCGCCATATGGAAGGTAGGTGGTGCTGTGAGAGGAGCAGGTCCCTTGGCCCTGGATTTCCTGCAAGTGCCCAGCCACAGCAAGAGTCCCTCTCCTACAAGCCAGGGCTGGGTGGCTGGGCACTCACCAGGGGGCCACGCCCACACTCGGAGGCTCTCCTCAGACCTGGGGAGGGAGAGGCCACGTGGGTCCCAGAAGCCTGAGGGAAGCCCTCTTCCCTTGCTCCAGCACCCAGGCCTCTCACCCAGGAGCTATGCTGACAGTGACAAGGTACCAGAGTAGAGGGCCAAGGAGTTGTTCCGCAGGGCCCAGGCTGCTCGCCCTCCTAGCAGACACTCCCGCTACTCATCTTGGACCAGGAAAGACTCAGGCGTAGGAGATAGGGTAACAAGGGTGAAGGAACTCCACCGCTCCAGAACCAAGTGTGGCTGTCCGTGGAGCAAAGCCTCCCCTTCTGCTGCGTGGCTACTCCCACCTGGCCACTCATTTCACAGATTCCCTGGCACCTGCTCTGAGCCCAACCTGTGCTGGGTGATGGGTACAAAGAGAGAAAGCAGGGACCGCCTAGCCTAGTCCTGCAACTGGCCTCTGGATGAGTACAGAGGTCAGAGTGGCCCACACAGCTAGCCTCCTCCCATCAGGGCCCAGTATAAGGAGAGGCCAGGCCTGACCACCTAAGAGCACCCAAGAGAAAGGTGTGGCTCAGAGGGTACACCAGGCAGGCCTATGGAAAGCGCTTTGGGGAGAGGCAGTTTGGGCAGAAGACATGAGGGGCAACCCCCACTTCCCTCATCAGATCAACAAGGCTTCTCTGGCCCTGTGGGCAGGTCTGAGCTGTCATTACCTTATCAGCAGTTGGGTAATCTGGCCACAAGAAAACCCCAAATGCACGATCCCAGGGCAGAATTCAAACTCCCCTCGACCTGGGAGCCAGAGGACCAGGACCCCAACAGGGCTTCTGTCTCAGATGGGGAGGGCTAAGCCGCCAGGTGGACAGGAGCCCCAGATTTCCCCTCAGCCTGGTGACAAGACACAATCCAGGCCTCTATTTCCTGATCTGCAAAATGGAAACACAATTGGGCTCACAGGGCTGTGGGAGGACAAAAGATTGTCATAAATTGTTACTGGTTAAGCCGTCTCTGCCGAGGTGGTGGGGGAGGAAGGCATTCAATAATTAATTTCAATAATGAGCACAATCCTTTGCTATTGCACCTGTGTTCTCTTATAATCTTCAAAGTGGATTTAAGTCTATGAGTATCACACTCCTCCTCCATGCACTGCACTTTAAGGCTTATAAAGCTCTTCTATCAGTAGCTTAAGAATCCTCATAGCAACTTTGCACTTGAAGCAAGGATCACCATTCTCAATTTACAGATGACAGAACTGACACCTAGAGAGGGACAATGGCCTCTCTAAAGACTTTAGCCACTAAGTCAAAGCTCTCATGGGGTCACTCATGAGGCCCTGGTGATATCCTCATACCTTCTTAGCTGGTCCTTGGGGGGATCCACAGCCTTAGAGCCCCATGTAACCTGGGCAGGAGAGAGATAGGAACAGAAAAGCCACAGCCTCGCTCCACAGTGTAGCCACTTCTGAGGGTTGCCCACAGTGATCCCCAACCCCTCTGACCAGACTCCAAGACAGCCCAAGGCAGGAAGAAGAGGAGAAAATGTGACAAGCCGGCCGGGCGCGGTGGCTCAAGCCTGTAATCCCAGCACTTTGGGAGGCCGAGGCGGGTGGATCACGAGGTCAAGAGATCGAGACCATCCTGGTCAACACGGTGAAACCCCGT